GGGGGGGGGGGGGCGTGGCACAGAGAAGGCAGGTGCGAGGGGTGGCACACGCACCGACAGGTGCCGAGGATGGTGTAGATGATGAGCGGGATGAAGGCCGTGTAGAGGCCAAACACCGGGCTGAGATTGGCCAGACCGGCGTAGGAGACCGCCTGCGGAATGAGCAGGCAGGAAACCGTGACAGCGCCCAGGAAGTCGATGATGAAGTTGGACAGCGTGTAGTTGGGCAGCCACCCGAGGATGGGGATGTAGTAACGCGCGCGGCGGCGGAGGTTGGCTCCATCGAGCGGCTCGCCGTACTTGTCGGTCAGCGAGGAGAGGAAGCCGAGGGAGTTGGTCTCGGCGTCGGGGTTGGGAGCCGACATGTCCGGGGAGCCGAAGGAAGAGGCTGGAACGGCGCGACAGCAGGGGAATCGGGGCGGGGGCGGGGGCGGGGGGCGGAGGGAATCCGGCGACTTGGTGAGTATCAATCCCAATGCCAGGAGCATATGGGCCAGGCCAGGCGCGCAGTCGTACCCTGGTAGTCGTCGCCAAGCAGATGGGCACGCTCGTCGGTCGGAGGGCGGGGCTCCGCCGAGCCGGCATGGTAGTCTGAGGAGTAGGCATCAGGAGCATCCGAGTTGTTCAGGCCCAAATGGGGCGAGTCGTCGCCGGACATGGCGGCGGGCGCGCCGGGCAAAGGCGGCAGGAGGGAGAGGGGTGGGCGGGGAGATCTGCTCCTCCCGGGGCGATGTTGAAGGGGAGAGTGAGGGGTGGGAAAGGGCTGGAGAAGGGGATGAGGGGGGGGGGGGGGGGGGGGGCGGCGTGGAGGCCGGGGCGATGTGTTGGATGAGGATGCTGATTGGCCCGGGCTCCAGTCGGCGGAGGTGGAGGTGGGGCCGCAAAAAGGAGTGGGGATCTATGCTGCCTCTGGCCGGCAAGAGAGGGGCCCGAGCCCCATGCATGGCTCGTCCTGGTGGGATCTCTCCCAGCTGCCCCTCTCCACGGGGAGGCGGGGGGGGGGG